GTCGTCCACACACACACACAACATATATCGTCTCTCCATTGCTCTGCATGAATGATGGGGAGACTGCCTAGCTAGACTACTGTAATGTAATCCCGTGTGAAAATTATGCATTTGAAGGGTTTCTACTCATAAATTTGATAGTTTAATCCCTCCTACGTTACAAATTTTCCCACAAATTTACGTAAGTAGAAGAAATGACATTAGGGTAGAATTGCCAGGCCTACATCATTTACTGTAATCTCATAGCCAATTCGAAACTCTAAGGCTTAATATGCTATGAAAGAGAGCAAGGAGGGCGGGGGAAGAAAAAAGCTATCAGCAGCTGTGAACGATAGATAGAAAGCGGAGGAGGACAACAGGCGACCACGATGGAGTCATAAATCAATCATAGGCTCCACGCCATCTGGCTTGACTATACTCTAAAGAGAAGTTAAACTAGTCTATCAGCCAGCAATTTCTACGCACCGTGCCTTATCCTGCATTACTTTAAGGGTCACACACGCAAAAGGCACAACACAACACGATGACCACGAGGCTGAGGACTGCGCGATGAGACGCCATACGGCCGATGGGTTTACCATAGACACTTTGCCACACAAGACGGAAATGGTGCTCTCCCAAACCACTGCTCATTACTCATAGAGATAGTTTATAAGATGACGTGTCGACAGACTTGGTAAAAGGCAGCCCCATAGCCAAAATATACATTTAAAAAGTCAAGGATTAGAGCATTCTGCCATTCACACTAATCTATACAGTCGGTTGCACTCTTTACCAACGCACAAACCGAGTGACACACCGCACTTAGTTGATCACTATCACATTTTGCCAATTAGCTCTTGGTTTTTGGCAGCACTATTTCCATCTCTTCTAGTAAATCCTTTCGGTGCCCGTTTAAATATTTGATACTTTCCTGTAATCCCATTTCATACCCACTATAATGTCTGCGCTAGCAATGTAATTTGTTCTTCTTAACTTTACTAGTAATTTATTTTACACTGAGTGGCAATTATGTCGATATTAGTTACGCCTTGACACCTACGCATCAGTGGAGTATATAAAGGGTGCACGAGGCTGTAACAAGGGAGTATAACACACACAGTATGAAGACTACCAGTGCACTGATTCTGCTCCTATTAGGTGCCGCTCTGAGCGTGGCGAAAGCGGCAGAGGGAGGACTGAGTACAGAGATGACACCAACCAAGTTGTCAATGGTGACTATTGGAACAACAACGAATACTACGACAGATCCAGCGAAGAATATGACGACTTCGATCACCATTACGGTGACAAAGACCACGATGATGGATAAAGAAACAAATACGATGACAACGATATTAACAAAAACAACGACGGAAACGATGGTGACATCGACACAAATTGACAATGCAACCCCACAGACGACAATGAGGCCAATAGAGGATCCGGTGAACACACTGCCACCAATAGGACCACCAATGCCCGACTGGACAGAAGACCACATGGGCACAGGCATGCCGAGTGAGCCAGT